CTACTCTGCAATATTGTAAGGACTTAAACACTTTAATTTCCTTTATCCTTCTCCCATTTTATACGTAATTGTTATTCTAGGTATTGCAGCATATAATGGAATCATACAATATTTGTCTTTTTGTGTTTGGCTTCTTTCACGTAGCATAATGTTTCCAATATTCATCCATGTTGTAGCATGTATCAGAATTTCACTTTTTTTAAAGGCTAATATTCCATTGTATCTATATATGATGGACAGTTGGCTTGTTTCCACCTTTTGGCTACTGTGAATAATGCTACTGTGAACCTTGGTGTGCCAGAATCCATCTGAATCCCTGATTTCAATTTGTTTTGGTATATATACCCAGAAATGGATTTACTGGATCATAAGGTAATTCTATGTTTAACAATTTGAGAACCCTCCATACTATCTTCCTGATTCTTTTTCTTTAAATCTTTTTTTTTTTTTTTTTTTTTTGAGACAGAGTCTCCCTCTGTCACCCAGGCTGGGGTGCAGTGGTGTGATCTCAGCTCACTGCAACCTCTGCCTCCTGGGTTCATGTGATTCTTGTGCATCAGTCTTCTGAGTAGCTGGAATTACAGGTGTGTGCCACTACACTCGGCTAATTTTTTGTATTTTTAGTAGAGACAGGTTTTCACTATGTTGGCCTGGCTGGTCTCAAACTCCTGGAGTCAAGTGATCTGCCCACCTCGGCCTCCCAAAGTGCTGGGACTACAGGCATGAGCCACCATGCCCAGCCCTGATTCTTTTTTACATATTACAATTCTCTGTTAATATTATCCATTGTTTTACCTATTTCTTCTACCTTTATTCCTATTTAATTGAACATGAATATAAAGTTATTTTTACATCCTTTTTGAATAACTCTAATATCTGGATCATCTGCAGATCTGCTTCTAGTATCTGTGCTTATCTCTTGATTTCTGGTCATTTTATTTTGTCTTTTGGCATTCTTTGTACTTTTTCACATAATGTCTCCAGAGAGGGTTTCCTTCTGTCTAGGAGACAAAGGTAATGGTAGCTGATTACCTTAACAAAATCAGGGGCTGCTTGAAGTTGAGGCTCTGTTGTAGCTCTGGGTAAAGCTCTAGCTACTTATGTCCAAGGATATATATCCCTCTAGGATTTTTAACTGAGAGCTTGGTATTCACTGGGGTTTCTCCTTCTGGCAAGTTCATAACTCTAATCTGTATCTTGTGAGACTGCCAAAGTGTCTGCTCTGCTTTTCAAAGGTTTTCCAATGCAGTTTTTAACCTCCCATTCTGCAGAGCCCAGGAATTGGCAAATATCCCAATGGGATAACTGGCTGTATGCATGAGGTTCCCCTGGTTTTCTACAAAGGCTCTGCTGGTTTCTTGTCCCCAGTAGGGGCTTTCCGCCAATATAAGGTTTCTGCTTCTCAGACCCCTGCCCATGCCCAGAATCAGCAAATTCCCCCCAGGGTAAAAGAGACCATAAAAGTCAGCTCACCATTCTGAGACTCTTTTAGTTTACCTTTACTCCTGGGGTTCATTCCTTTAAGGTCTCAGCCCAAAGCATGGTGTGCCAGGGTTCCCATCCCATCCTTGGTTGGATGTAGTAGATTTTTATTACCCTAGCCCCATAAGACTGTATATTTCAATTTTAGATCATACATCTCCAGTTAATAGCAGCCACAAAAACTAGGCTCAGCTCTTTAAAATCTTATCCTCTTGGCTGGGTGCAGTGGCTTATGCATGTAATCCCAGCACTTTGGGAGGGCAAGGCAGGTGGATCACCTGAGGTTAGGAGTTTGAGACCAGCCTGGCCAACATGGAGAAACCCCATCTCTACTAAAAATAGAAAAATTAGCCAGGTGTGGTGGTGGGTGCCTGTAGTCCCAGCTACTTGGGAGGCTGAGGCAGGAGAATCATTTGAACCTGGGAGGCAGAGGTTGCAGTGAGCCGAGATTGCACCATCGCACTACAGCCTGGGTGTCAGAGCAAAACTCTGTCTCAAAAAAAAAAAAAAAAAATCTTATCCTCTCCCAGATCTTGATCAAATAATTCCCTCCTATCTTGTTAGCACTTTGTGGCTTTAAAATATACTTTTTAAAAGGTTATTTTATTTTTGAGATGAAGTCTTGCTCTGTTGTCCAGGCTGGAGTGTGTTGTGGCAGGATCATAGTTCACTACAATCTCAAATTCCTGGATTTAAGGGATCCTCCCACCTCAGTGTCCCAAGTAGGTGGGACTACATGTGTATGCCACCCTGCCTGGCTAAAATATACTTTAACAATATTTGTTTTGCTTGCTTTTTAGTTCCAATCCCACAATTGCTATACAATATTAGTACTATCTTAGCTTAGTACTACTGACTTTAGTACTACTAGTTATGATAGATTTTAAGAACATAATCCCAAATGCAGAATAACTCTAATTTTTTAAAAGCCAGTCTTAGGAAAATGATGTATTTTAGACTCAGAAAGCTCTTTCACTATCTTCAGGGTTTGATACGCTAACCATTAAATTATGCTAGAATTATGTTCTGTTTTCACCTCTTATAAATTAAAGGGAAATTAAATCAAAGTGAAAAGTAATGAAGCACTTCAACTCTAATTTACTCATGACAGAATATATACCAATATTTGCCTTACATTTGAAGGATATTGTAATAATACAAGATATTTAAAAGCATATCCATTTCATTTTGTCTTAATCTCTTAGAACAGTCTTTGTAACATTACCAGATGATGTTAACAGGTCTTCCTGGAGGGCTGTGGTGGGGACATGGTTTTTTCTGATCAAGTATATTTGCTCTGTCTTGGAGATGCATAACACACATTGGTATTTAAAATACCCTAAGAAGTCCTCAGTAAAGTCAGCTGTTATCTTTATTTAACCCTCTGTTTCCAAAGACATCTGACCAGGGACACATTTTATCCATGGAATATCTATTAATGTGCTCCAAGGTACCTAGTTTGAGAAACGTGGCCTAGAGAAAGAGAAATACACATTTCAAATAGTTTTGGTTATTTGTATGTTTTTGAACTTGACTACCTCCTGTTTCCTCCTTCACTGAAGGCTAGAAACTGAGTTTTGTGGGGTTTTATTAGCTTCATTAAACTGTCACTTCTTCTGTCAGTCTTTTCTGATGTAGGGTAGCAGAAGGAGTATGAGCTTCACAGAGAGACAGAATTAGGATCAAATTCTGGTTCCATCATCTTGGGCAAATTCTCCTGTCTCTCTGGGTCATAGTTCTTTATCTGTATACTATTATACTAAGGATTAATGAACATGTAAAGTACCCAGGACATTGGCCCCGGAGGTACCTCCTATCTTAAAATTCCTCAAGGATCTAGAATGGCCAGTTGGAATGAACATAGGATTGTTATCTTTGAACCTTGACTTAGGACTCTTCTTTACTAACTCATTCCCCTCCCTTGCCTAGTTAAGAGACTGTAACACTCCTGCGGAATAACGCACTTTTGTATCCTGACTGATGGAGCACCTCGTGTTAAACTGGTTTTTATTTTCTTTTTTTTTTTTTTTTTTTTTTTTTTTTGAGACGGAGTCTCGCTCTGTCACCCAGGCTGGAGTGCAATGGCCGGATCTCAGCTCACTGCAAGCTCCGCCTCCCGGGTTCACGCCATTCTCCTGCCTCAGCCTCCCGAGTAGCTGGGACTATAGGCGCCCGCCACCTCGCCCGGCTAGTTTTTTGTATTTTTTAGTAGAGACGGGGTTTCACCGTGTTAGCCAGGATGGTCTCGATCTCCTGACCTCGTGATCCGCCCGTCTCGGCCTCCCAAAGTGCTGGGATTACAGGCGTGAGCCACCGCGCCCGGCCTGGTTTTTATTTTCTTAGAACTTGGGGAAGCTCCAGGTTTCCGTCTTTATGTTCCCATAACAGTTACTATCTTATTTATCTTACCTTACTGTAATTACTCATTTTCTTTCCTGATCCAGTGTAAGTTTTATAAGGTCAAAGACATTTTTTCCCTGTTATATGCACGCACCACTGGCCTGGGTAAAGAGTAGCCACTCAATAACTATAGAATCTTTAATAAGTTATAATAATTGGAACTCCCAAAATCATTATTATTCAAATATAATCCTGAGATGAAATGTTTTAATATTCTTTATATTAGAAAGTACAGGTAGAGGCCAGGTAATGGCTCATGCCTGTAATCCCAGCTCCTTGGGAAGTCAAGGAGGGCGGATCACTTGAGGCCAGGAGTTCGAGACCAGCCTGGGCAACATGGTGAAATCCCGTCTTTGCTGAAAATATAAAAATTAGCCAGGCGAGGTAGTACAAGCCTGTAATTCCAGCTACTTGGGAGGCTGAGGCAAGAGAATCGCTTGAATCCGGGAGGCAGAGGTTGCAATCAGCTGAGGTTGCACCACTGCACTCCAGCTTGGGCAACAGAGCGAGACTTCATCTCAAAAAAAGAAAGAAAAAAGAAAGTACCAGTAGAAAACAAGGAGTTAAATTTACTTGAAATTCTCAAATTTTTAAAATATAAGTCTACAGAATCAATAATCACTACTAGAAATCTTAGACTGATAGTCATTTTTCTGAGATATATCCAAGCACTAGGATAGAAACAGAATAATATTCTTTTTAGATACATTTTGGTATTCAAGAGTAACTCCATTTATTCAAAAGATGTGTTCTAGAAAGTCTGCCTTTAAATAAACTTTTATAGTCTAAACATTAAAAAACTCATCTGATTGAAATAAACTAAAACTTAAATATAGTTAAAATATATATATATATCTAAAAAATAAAAATACCTCTTTGTATTGAGGATGTCCCACACTAACTTATCTATGTGTAATATATTTAAATTTCTGAACACTGGAATTTTCAAAGTGGGGAAAACTTTACTAACGGGTCATATCAAAAAGCTAAGAAGATTAGCACGATTCTAATGTCAAATTAACTTTTATTTTTAAAAACATCATTAGTAAGTATGTAAGTAGTAAATATAGTGTGTTATGAAGAGGCTTTTTAGTAAACAGGAAATTTAAAATACTTACTATTATTTTCTTACAGTCCTTTCCTCTGCATAATTCTGTATAGGTAGAATACTGCACATATATAATCCAGCTTCCAACAAAAACCGCTAACCAGGAAAAGAAAAGATATTTCATCCGCACATATGAGAAGCGAGCCTGTGAGTAAAAAAGAACATAACAATCATTCATTCAGCACCAAATCAGCATTCGATGTCCTAGAACGTGACTTCTCACCCTTCTTGGAATAACCCAATATATATTCTAGGCTTTCATATGGCAATTCTAGAACAAAGTGCACTTTCACGGAGTCCAAACAGCACTGGTGTCAGAAAAGGAAGCCCCTTGGTCCTGCCAAGGAAAAAGGGAACAAAATATCCTTTAGGATGTATAACCTTTCAAATACCACCATCATCCAAAGCTACTTTTTAGGCACAAGCACGTGTACCACGCTACCCTGGGCACCTTGTGAGATCAGGTAAATAGAGGTACAATTCCTATTTACTAGAAGCTTACAAAAGACTGTTTCACATAAGAATCTTAAAGGTCTTTAGGAAAATCATGATAAAAATAATTTTGTTTTAAAGAAATAAGAACAGAGAATCTGGCTATTTGTCTAATGTCTCATACTGACAACCAGAACCAGAAATTAAGCTCTACAGTCATTTCTATTTCCCTATTGTATTCACCAGGGCTTTATGTTCCTTTTGTTCAACCAACCAAATGTTTCACCTAATAGATATTCTGGAAACTGAGGAGACGCTAACAACTGTTAAAGGAGAAATGACTGAAGAAGGGTTAAGACATAGTAAAAATAAATTACTCTTTGCATGTCAACTTGTAAAGCTACACAATAGGATCCTCTTTGCATTGTTTTGTTTCCAGTGCTCTTGTGTTCTAATTGCAACTTGGGCTGGTTGATGCCTTTTTTCCATCAACTACATATCAAACAGTTTCATCTTCAAAAGTGACACTTGAAGTCAAGACTAGTTGACATTTATTTTTTGAGTCTGTAGCACCCATGGTCTGGTTTTGTAAACAGCAGAACTGAGGACTATGAAGAGAATTCGGCAGAATAAATTAAAGATACGTAAACAAACAATGAAAAGCTAGTTTTGCTTTTACAATCACGAGCCAGTTTCTCACACTGGGAACAGTAGGATACTGTGGGCACTGTGAGCATGCAAAGAAGCAGAAAGAGATGAGACAGAAGCGCACCTGCAGAAGACAATGAGTGCAAACGAAAAAGAGACTCAGGAAATACTGAATTCTGTTGGCCCTATTTGTGGTTTAGATATCTTTGTGAGGTTAACAGATGGTGAATCCCTGTATCAAAAGGCTTGAGTACAATGAATTCTCAGTAAAATTGTAGGTCTTTGAGCTTTATTATTAAAATTAAAAAGTGCCTTTAATGCAAGATACTTTTGAATTGCTCTAAGCAAAAAGAAAATTCAGATTAAACCCCAAATTAAATCACATAAATGACAATGGGGTATAGACCATGGGGTTTGTTTGAAAGATATTTAAGATGACTCGTCTCTAATAAGAGGTCTGGTCATCAGATAGAAATTGACATGTACTAACATTGTGAACCTAAATAAGATGAAATGACATAATGCCTATAAAATATAAGCATATTGCTGGGCACATAGTAAGTATTCGGCAAATGTTAGCTAAATCAATTTGCCAGTCACTGGGCAAGAAGCCAACAATACTGTCTGTGGCTATCATCTTCTTTTCGGACTTGCCAAAAAGAAAACTGAATCTGAATCTGATCAAGCCTTTTAGCTGCAGCTACCAGTTTACAGGAAATACATGAGACAGAGGAACACAAGTGACACTTAAGTGACACTATAAGATATAATCAGCAAACTCCAGCCTGTGGGAAACACTGTAATACAAACAATCCAGTTTCTTCAACAAATAAATTACAAGGAGGGAGAAAAGGGGAAGGGGAAACTGAAAGAATAAAAACCATTTAAGAAATATATTAGGCTAGATGTGGTGGCTCACATCTGTAATCTCAGCACTTTTGGAGGCTGAGGTAGGAGAATCACTTGAGTACAGGAATTTGAGACCAGCCAGGACAATATAGTGAGCCACTGTCTCTATGAAAAAATTTAAAACTTAGCCAAGGCCACCCTGGAGCTCACGCCTGTAATCTCAGAACTTTGGGAGGCCGAGGCAGGCGAATAACTTGAGGTCAGGAGTTCGAGACCAGCCTGGCCAACGTGGTAAAACCCCGCCCATACTAAAAATACAAAAATTAGCTGAGTGTGGTGGCATGCACCTGTAATCCCAGCTACTCAGGAGGCTGAGGCAGGAAAATTGCTTCAACATGGTAGACGGAGGTTGTAGTGAGCCGAGATTGTGCCACTGCATTCCAACCTGGGTGACAGAGCAAGACTCCATCTCAAAAAACAAAAATAAAAATCAGCCAAGCATGGTGGCTCACACCTGCAGTCCCAGCTATTTGGGAGGTTAGGGTGAGAGGATTGCTTGAGCCTGGGAAGCAGAGGTTGTAGTGAGCCAAGACTGCACTGCTGCACTCCAGCCTGGGTGACACAGAGAGACCCTATTTCAAAAAATGAGAGAAATATATCAAATAATTACAACACATGTATCTTTTTTGAGTCCTGATTCAAATGAAAACCTGTAAAAAATGACATTTGTAAGACAATTGAAAATTTTAAGAATGACAGTATACTTGATGACAGTAAAGGATTATTTTAGTTTTTTTTAGGTGTGATAATGGTTCTGTGATAATATTTAAATATTTTTCTTTCCTCTATCAAATAGCTATGTTTTTCTACTTCCTCTGGCATATGTTTAAATGGAGAAACACCCTATGAACTGGATTGCCCAGTGACTACTTGTCATGATAAAGAATGCCAAACATTTTTGAGAGGAAGTTAGATTGATGATGTTCCCAGCAGGGCACTGGGCATCACCTGTTGTAGACATAATAACAAAAGGAGTGAGACACATTTTTCTTCCAGCTTGCCATGGAGAATTGCTGTGATTTGGGGGTAACACAAAGTAGTAAAAGGACCTTCATGGGTCCTTTAATATCTGCAGATCCTGCAGCCTCACATTTAAAAATAATGATTGAAGAAACAGCCATAAATTACATCTGTAGCTATTAACCAATTTAATTTCCCTGTGTGCCACTCACTAAAATGTTTCTAGCGGTCTGTTCTGTACCAATTACCTAGATAATGTAGTCTTTGATTAAGAAATGTCATCTGACCTTTTTATTTATGCTGAACTATTCACAATGACTGCCCAGCAGTTTTTTATTCTGCAGATTGTGTGCCTAGCTGGTAATGGTATGTTGCTTTATTCCTCATTGTGTTCCTGAAAAGCAGGGTAAGAATTTTCGTAAATACACTATGGCAGTGATTCTCAAATGGACTTAGTTTGCCCCACAGGGGACACTTGGCAACGTCTGGAGACGTGTTTGGTTTCCCAACTGGAGGTTGCTACTGAAATCTTGTGGAGTAGCAGCCAGAGATGCTGCTAAACATCCTACAATGTACAATGTAGCCCCCCACAGCAAAGCACCATCAGGCCCACAATGTGTTTGAGAAACTCTGTATCACAGTTACACAATAAAATGAAAACAAAAATTGTGGGGTTGAAAGAGCCAAATTTGTACGACACTAGCATTTTATCTTAAATTAGCCTTTAATGCATAAACTATTACTCAATTTTAAAAATATAACATCTGTCTGGAAATAACAGAAGCAGTTATCACTAGAGTAAATGATTGCCAATATTTTATTGTAAGCCCATGATGACACAAAATGCCAATTCTACTCTAGAAAATAGTAATAATTTTTCTTCTTTTAAAATACTGTTTGATTTTATTGTGATAATTTATTTCAAAACAAACCTGAAAATCTTTGATCTTGTTTGTAACTTTACATTAAGTTTTAAAAATAGGCAGAAAGAGGCAACATACCAAAATTTAGCCATTTAAGACTACTTCTGGCCGTGCAGTGGCTCACGTCGGTAATCCCAGCACTTTGGGAGGCTGATGCCGGGGGATCATCAAATCAAGAGATCGAGCCCATCCTGGCCAACACAGTGAAACCCCGACTCTACTAAAAATACAAAAATTAGCTATGCGTGTTGGTGGGAGCCTGTAATCCCAGCGATTCGGGAGGCTGAGGCAGGAGAATCGCTTGAACCCAGGAGGTGGAGGTTGCAGGGAGCCGAGATCATGCCACTGCACTCCGGCCTGGGCGACAGAGTGACGCTCCGTCTCAAAAAAAAAAAAAAAAAAGGCTACTTCTATTATCTATTTTTCATACTCTGCATCTTTCATAAACTTGTAAAGCACAAAGTCCTTTTACTTTACCCCAAATTACTCTATACACAAATGTTCTTAATTTTGAGAGTGGGGACTCTGTCTCAAAAAAAAAAAATGGCAATATGATTCTACTGGTCACAGTTTTAGCATTCTTAATCTTTTTAAGAGGTGAATTTTTGTATTTATAGAGAGAATCTGAATTATTCTTTGATCTGAAGTTTAAAGATTTTATTTGCAGGAGCATATTCTGTGTTTTGATTTTATGAAAAATCAGGAAATAAAGTTTCAATAAAAAACAGATAATTTTCACATTTTCTCTGAATGCTGGTTCATATTTCTTATGCTTAGAGGTTGACAGTATAACAAAATGCCAAGAACAACTAGTGAATCAATTGCATGGGGTGATTCTCAAGCCTGTGACTAGGCTCCACAGTAAAACACTATTTCAAAGAAGTGTCAAAGTAAAAGAAATAGCTCGTGATACATTAAGTGAAAAAAACCCGCTTTCAAAATCCCATGTATGATATGTTCCCAATTTGGCTTTTAGAAAGAGAAATCACCAAAAAACTTTAGAAACTGCAAGGAAATAAACAAAACATGAAGGGTTGTTGTCTCAAACTGTCAAGAGGTGGTGGGATTATGGATAATTTTCATTTTTCTTCTCTTAATTTTCTATAACAAATATGTATTACTTTTTTAATTAGAAAAATCTATTTGCATATATGTGTTTAATGTACGTATTTAAATATGTCTCTAAGATCTACAAGTCTCTTGATGCTTAAAAAAATCTTTTTTACTGTAAAATATTAATATAGAATTATATAAAATATATAAATACAGCTTACATTATAATTATAAAGCAAATATCTAAATAACTACCACTTGGGTAAAAATACAGAATTTTCTGGCCAGGTGTGGTGGCTCATGCCTGTAATCCCAGCACGTTGGGAGGCTGAGGCAGGCAGATCACTTGAGGTCAGGAGTTTGAGGCCAGCCTGGCCAACATAGTGAAACCCCATCTCTATTAAAAATACAAAAATGAACATTCCAGGAAGGGAAGCCAGCCTGTGAAGGAGCATGGCGTTGAGACAGGAAATGGCAAAAAGTCTTTTGAAGACATCTTCTCTGTCTGGAAGGACAAAATTGCTACATCAAACAGGATTGTCACTTTATAGTACATCCCATGGATTTTATGAGGAAGAAGTGAAAAAAAAACTTCAGCAGTTTCCTGGTGGATCCATTGACCTTCAGAAAGAAGACAGTGGCATTGGCATTCTTACTCTGAACAATCCAAGTAAAATGAATGCCTTCTCAGGTGTTGTGATGCTACAACTTCTGGAAAAAGTAATTGAATTGGAAAATTGGACAGAGGGGAAAGGCCTCATTGTCCGTGGGGCAAAAAATACTTTCTCTTCAGGATCTGATCTGAATGCTGTGAAATCACTAGGAACTCCAGAGGATGGAATGGCCGTATGCATGTTCATGCAAAACACCTTAACAAGATTTATGAGACTTCCTTTAATAAGTGTTGCGCTGGTTCAAGGTTGGGCATTGGGTGGAGGAGCAGAATTTACTACAGCATGTGATTTCAGGTTAATGACTCCAGAGAGTAAGATCAGATTTGTCCACAAAGAGATGGGCATAATACCAAGCTGGGGTGGCACCACCCGGCTAGTTGACATAATCGGAAGTAGACAAGCTCTCAAAGTGCTGAGTGGGGCCCTTAAACTGGATTCAAAATACGCTCTACACATAGGAATGGTTGAAGAGGTCTTGCAGTCTTCAGATGAAACTAAATCTCTAGAAGAGGCACAAGAATGGCTAAAGCAATTCATCCAAGGGCCACCGGAAGTAATCAGAGCTTTGAAAAAATCTGTTTGTTCAGGCAGAGAGCTATATTTGGAGGAAGCATTACAGAATGAAAGAGATCTTTTAGGAACAGTTTGGGGTGGGCCTGCAAATTTAGAGGCTATTGCTAAGAAAGGAAAATTTAATAAATAATTGGTTTTTCGTGTGGATGTACTCCAAGTAAAGCTCCAGTGACTAATATGTATAAATGTTAAATGATGTTAAATATGAACATCAGAATTACTTTGAAGGCTACTATTAATATGCAGACTTGTTTTTAATCATCTTTTGAATATCTGAACTCATTTACCTCATTTCTTGCCAGTTATTCACTTGGGTATTTACTGCATAATCTGGAACATTTAGCTAAAATATACACTTTTGGCTTAAAAATTATTGCTCTCAATTCCAATAATAATTCTTAGCTTATAAGCAAAGAGCAGTGTTTAAAAGGAGAGCTTCTATACAAAACCTATTCCTGGTGTTACTTTTCATAAAATTTTGTCTTACCTGTCTTACCTGGAAATAATTTACCAAAATAATGAGTATTGCTATTAAAGAGCAAAAGTGGGGAGGGATCAGGGAACAAGAAAACAAGAAAGGATATGATCAATTATTTTCTTCTGCTCCAAACAGCCGGAGTAAAATTCATGGGAAATGGCCCTTAATTTAAAAAAAGATGTACCTCACTACCCACTACAAATTTGGAACTTTATTTGATCTTTTCAATAATTAGTTTTCTGTTATAAATTATCTACTAAACAGTGGTAGCCATGACATGGAAAGTCAACTGATTTTACAAATTGAACATTCATTTGTGTGCCCTGGAATTTCCAACTAGTAATAAACAACTACTGTTGATGTAGTTTTAAAATTAAAACCACTCGAAGGGACTCATGAAGCATCTTGCAACATAAATTTGCATTTTTACATCAGATTTCTTTTTTTTTCCTGAAAAACAACTAACCTTTTATAACTGTCTTTCAAAAGTAAACGTAAAAATGCACAACATAAAATGTTTATGATCATCCCAGAAATACACTTTTTAAAAAATGTGAAAGTCCAAGAATTAAGTTCTAGTTCTGACTCATCACAAGAGGTCAAAAGTATTTGCTACTGTAACATTCAATTCACATTTGAGAATCATGGTAAAAATAACTTGCATTTGCCTTATACATGATCCTACTGTTGAGTTCGGAAAATATGGTTAGACAGACTCACGTTACTTTTTTTCAGAGGTAAATTCTAGATTACTGTGTCAACCTAATATTTTCTATTTGGCCATAGATGTAAAATCTACCAAATAAAAGTGGATTTTGTGGTCTACAACATTTTGTTTAAAGTGAATTCATGTCTGCTAACACTGTAAGTCTGCCATTTAATCCAGAGTGTTAGACTACTAATGAATATGGTAAGGAAAATATAAAATATTAATGGTATCTGCTTTAATTTTATTTCCATATATATTTATTATATACACACTGCCTATAGGTTCTGTTTAATCTGTTAAATAAATAATCTCTTAAGAAAAAAAAAAAACAAACAAAAATTAGCTGGGCATGATGGCATGTGCCTGTAATCCCAGCTACTTGGGAGGTTGAGGCAGGAGAATCACTTGAACCCAGGAGGCAGAGGTTGCCGTGAGCTGAGATTGTGCCATTGCATTCCAGCCTGGGTGACAAGAACGAAACTCCGTCTCAAAAAAAATAAATAAATAAAAACCCCATAATTTTCTAATACCCTCACTGACCCCCAACCTCCCAACATGCTCTTGACTACCATGATAATCATCTGTTTATGTGCTTTTCTAAGCAGTTTAACCGCTGATCATGTATCCCTACAATGCAGAGTTTGATGTTGATTGTTTGAACTTTACACAAGTAGAAGCCTATTCTATTTCGACTTGCATCCATCCCTCAGCATTATACCATGAGATTTAACGATGCTGATACATATAGCCAGTTTGTTCATTTTCTTTGCTGTAGAGTATTCCACTGATTTTTCAGTAAGTAATCTTTATACTTTTATATACAAAGAATATAAATATTTAAAAATGCATATTTTTCTCTTCAACTTCGGTAAGGAAAAAAAATCCACATAATATGGAGCTGCATTCTGTGCCAGTCACTGCAGGAGATACTCTGTGTATCCCATATATTATATTCAATGTTCCTGAAAATCATAGACTTAGAAGGTTTGAAAGAGACTTTGGAAACATATAATTCAACCACATGCTGATGTGATATTAGGCTTAGAAAGCTGAAACAGCTTTGGCTCCAACTCTGTTGTGCCAGGAGGAAGTCTAAAGGTTTTACACAGGATGTGTCACAGACATGCCCTGGGATAGGTGCAATTCTAGGTCTTAGCCACTGAGGAAGTGACTTCTCCTGGCAAAAGCTGAAGACTATAATCCTTTTCCTTGCTCCTGCTGCTTTAGAGAACACAGGCCAGGCACATGTTGAAAAAGCTTCAAGGCTAAGAAAACAAAAGGCATCCCCAGGGTTAAAAAAGCAGGCATGCAGATGGGTTTTAATTAACAATTAGACAGCCAGCATCTTACAGCGCATATGGGAGGAAGGTGTAACCTCCACTAGCAATCTATATATAAAAGGAATGTTGGCATTTGCAATTGCAGGTGAAAAGAACTCATCATAGGGATCTTCAACATCCCAGTGCAGAAGGACAAGGATAAGCAAAAACACTAAGTGTTTTGATTTTCCATTGCTATATAACAAACCATCTAAAACTCGGAGGCTTAAAATAACTATTTGTCTCTCATGGTTCTGAGGGATGACCGGACTAAGCTAAGCAGTTCTCTCTTTAAGGTTCTCATGCATTTGTGATCAAGACTGGAACCATCTGAAGGACTATGTGGGTTGGATGTGCAGATAGATGGCTTCTTCATTCACATGTCCAACCTCTCAACTGAGGTGGCTGGAACAGCTTTATGTGGCTGGCTGGGCTTCTTCAAAGTTTGGTGGTGTCAAGGCAATTGAACTTCTTACATGATGGCTGACTTTGCTCAGAGTAAGTGTTCCAAGACAGCAAAGGGAAGGCTGTATCATTTCTGTAGAATTCTTTTGGTTAGAAATAGCCAGCTCAGAATTAACACAGGAAAGGACCACATAAGGGAATGACTACTAGTAGGCACGGTTCACTGAGGGGTCTTCTTTGGAGACCAGCTACCACTCCAGAAGAGGATCAGCAAAGCAGGGTCTAGGGGTAAGGAGAAAAGCAATGGGGACATCCCAACTAGAATAGAGACAGCTTTCTTGGCCATTCTGATTAAGGATTCTTTCTTCTGCCTTAGAGGAGAAGAACTGGAAGTTCCTATTAGAAGCCATTAATAGTATTTGTAGTCACATGTATTTATGCCTAAGTTGACTGAAAACAGTTCTCATTGCATATGATGGGCTCAATAACTATCAACAAATCTTTTGCTATGTACACCAAGTTCCATGATAAAGAACTCCAAAGTATTAGAAATTGCTCATGATACTAAGAGCGGTGGCTCACACCTATAATCCCAGCACTTTGGGAGGCTGAGGATTGCTTGAGCTCAGGAGTTTGAGACCGGCCTGGGCAAAAAAGTGGGACTCCATCTCTACAAAAAATAAAAAATCAGCTGGGTGTGATGGCACATGCCTGTGGTCCCAGCTACACAGGAGGCTGAGGTAGGAGGATTGCTTAAGCCCAGGAGTTCAAGGCTACTGTGAGCCATGTTCACACCACTGCACTCTAGCCTAGGTGATAGAGCAAGACCCTGTCTTGAAACAAACAAACAAATAAACAAACAAACAAAAACAATCCTTGCGATATAGACATAATAGAATTCATATTACCTTATTATTGCAGTTAAGATGTTAAGATTCTGGCACCAGAATGGGCAAATCAGGTGTCCATTTCTCCCTGAGATTAGGCCTAAGGTGCCACAGTGGATCTAGTGCTTACTAAAACATACAATAGCCACACACAAATCTTTGATGGGAATCCTAATTAGCACTTAAACTCACTAATGATTCAATTACTAAAAATAAAGTTTAACTCTGTTTTACCTAAACTTAGAGATGAGAATGCATGGTCCTTTTATACTTCAGAGTCTAAAGCATATTTTAGGGCAAAATTTACTTGGAGTAGTTACTTCTAAGTACTTACAAGCTTATTAATATAACAATTTTCAACACAGCTTAGACTCTTGGAGTATCCAGGGGCTGATTATAATTTAGATAAAACTTTATTACTGTAAAGGGTTTTAAAAAATAAATTAACTTTAATTGCTAATATTCTGTGAGATTGGTGAAAGAGGCTACGGGGTTCTGAAGCTTCCTTTCCAATCTTTATTCATGTGACTCCTAGACACATGGTAATTAAATATTGAAAGCTAATCTCCCCTTGATACATAAAAAAGCAGAGGTATATGTCCAAATACTGAAGAGGCCAGGGAGGGGTGGAGGAGATTGTTCACCTCCAAGTATCAGTATTCTGCCTTTGTTATCACTGAAAGGACTGTGGTTGCTCAGGGAATGTGGTCCCAAAGGAGTTACTGTTCATACAGCCTGAGACTCAGTGAGGAGATACGCTCTTCCCATTGTTTGGTACTCTGACATAGATTTCCAGGAGTCCTAGAACAGAACAACATTTCTTTAACAACAACAACAACAACAACAAAAATTGGAAAGTGACCATCTAATTCTTTTTTTTTTTAGATGGAGTTTCGCTCTGTCTCCCAGGCTGGAATCTCAGTTCACTGCAACCTCTGCCTCCCAGGTTCAAGCGATTCTCCTACCTCAGCCTCCCAAGTAGTTGGGATTACAGGCGTGCACCACCACATCCCGCTAATTTTTGTATTTTTAGTAGAGATGGGGTTTTGCTACGTTGGCCAGGCTGGTCTCTAACTCAGGTGATCTGCCTCCCTCGGCCTCCCAAAGTTCTGGGATTATAGGCATGAGCTACCTCGCCCAGCCCCATCTAATCCATTCTAATCAGCCATCTCTGAAGGTAAATACTTAGTTTGTTAAGCAATTAAAACACAAGTGGAATATAAAATGATAAACACATTAGAGCTAGAAGAGTTTTCAGTGAACCCAGATTCCATCCTTCTTATTGAAATAATGCCAGATTGCTATGCCCAGTGGAGAAAAAATGGACAATGAATAATTACATTAAAAAATTAAATGATCCCGTTTGACATACTCCTTTCCTAGCTGTTTTCCATGTTTAAAATATATTATAAGAAAAATAAAGTTGGGGTCATATGAAACATTACTTATCTCTTTTTCTCATTTAACATAAACATGTTTTTATGCCATTATATAGTCTTGATATATCTTCAAAAAATTGATATTTAAGACTGGGCACAGAGGCTCATGCCTGTAGTCCCAGCACTTTGGGAGGCCAAGGTGGGTGGATTGCTTGAGTCCAGGAGTTCGAGACCAGCCTGGATAACACAGTGAGACCCTGTCTCTACAAAAAATAAAAAATTAGCCAGGCACAGTGGCTTGCACTGTAGTCCCAGGTACTTGGAAGGCTGAGGCACGAGGATTGCTTGAGCTGGGGAGATTGAGGCTGCAGTAAGTGATGATGTGCTATTGTACTCCAGGCTGGGTGACAGAGCAAGACCCTGTCTCAAAAAAAAATTGATATTAAAAAAAATTTTCTTTTTAAATAAAGACAGCGTGTCACTATGTTACCCAGGGTGATCTCGAATTCCTGGGCTCAAGCAATGGGCCTGCCTCAGCCTCCCAAAGTGCTAGGATTATATGCGTGAGCCACTGTACCCATACTGTAAAATGTTATACATCCATTTAAATATCAATTTTTTTTGGTATTTAAATGGACGTATAACATTTTGCAGCACAGGTATGCCATAACTTATTTAACCCTATCTGTATTGTTTAATATTTTTATTATTTCCAATATTGTGCTATAATATTGGATAGTGATAACAAACAATAAATGAAAGCCAATATTTATTAGTGCTACTCTGGAGAGGAATGTTAAAAGCACTTTCTATATATTAATATACTTAATCCTCATAAAACTCTATGAGCTGATGTGGTAAATTAGTTAGGAGTTGGAAAACTATAGCCCATGAGCCAAATCCAGTCTGCTGCTTGGTTTTGTAAATATAGCTTATTGGAACACAGTCACTCTCGTTGTTGGTACATTATTATCTAAGGCTGCTTTCATGCTATAACGGCAGAGTTCAGTGGTTGCAACAGAGACAATATGGCCAACAAAGCAAAACATATTTACCATCTGGCTCTTTACCAAAATAGTTTGCTGACCCCTGGACTGTTCAGCAAATATTCATTCTCTCCCACTGCCTC